CTGTCGAAAAAAAAACCATCAATAATTAAGATTTTGCGGTGTTGTATGTAATGAACACCTTTAAAATATATGTATCTTTTAATTAAAATAGTCAAAAAATTCAATTTTTAAATTAAATAAAAGAAATAAATATTGGCTTACCGCAAAGAAGATTTCCAAAAACGCGTGTGTCATTGAAATACAAATTTTATAATCTACAATCTCATCAAGTTTAGATACTTCTCGGCCCGCCCTTCAAGGCTCCCCCTCCCCCTCCCACGTGGAGCGTATGATGAATGAGCAATTAAAATGTAATCATCATACGCCCCATAATCCCCTCTTCAAACACATGCAATCTACTCAAAAGCCACTTAACTTTCCATGCGTTTTGCCTCAAAAAGATTTATTCCAAGACCGCAAAGTTTGTTTGCCGCAGTTTGAGTGAGATAACACAAAGCGGAAACCCACAAAATTAAGCTCGTTATTTTTGCACCACAGAAAATGACAACAATATAATTATTACATGTCTTCTCCCCGCGGATGCTAACGACTCCAACTCGATATCTCCTCGTGGCCTCCTTTGTGCTGCCATGGCACATCAGAACGTAAATTAGAACACGAATTATTTCAAGGCCTTTGCGTGGAACGTTCTATTCCGCCACGAAGAGAAATTGAACGACACACTTAGAAGTTTAAATTCCCTCAAGATTTAATGTTAAATAAAAAAGTTTCTGTTTTACTTTCTTGCGTGGCTCTCTCAATTGCTATTGAAATTCCAAAAGAAGAAAGTTTTTTCGAACATCTCGTGCAGCTTTCTTTGCATGCAGTTGGGCGACCAGCCAAGACCCATCTGCTTAATTCGACTTAATTTTTTACTAATCTCATTGTTGTCATAACAAATGACAGCGGCCCAACCTCCCCATAAAAAAACTCTGGCAAGTGAAAAAGTAACAAGCACATAGCTTTTGGGAAAGAAATTTAATTCAATTTTATGTCAGGAAACTTTAAAGTTTCTTTTTCGACATTTTGATAGTGGTCGTCGTGTTGGCCAGAGCCCAGTACGCCACAGTAAATGACAACAGGATGACAGCAACTACAAACAAACAACCAACCCAACGTATGCGAAGAAACTTGGTCAATATTTGTTTCTTGTTTAAGTGTAAGCAATTCGAAGAGAACAATTGTGCCTGGTCGGTCTATTGGAGTAAAGCGGCTCGTAAATACAGCAAGAGGAAATGGGCTGTTAAAGCAGAAAGGAAGAAGAACAAAAAAAAAAGTAAAACATACCAAAGTTTACGCATAATGTTAAAAACTTAGCTTCATACCCCCAAAGAGGAGGAGGGGGATCTTTTTTTTTCTGTTTCAAACCTGAAAAATAAAATGGCCAATACAAGAGTTTTCAAGACTTTAACTGTTAAACAAACATTAACGTTTAAAGTGGGTGGATGAAAGAAATTAGTTCAGCGAAAGCAATATGAACACCAATATCTAGCAAGGAATTTAGTTTTGAAATTACTTTTATTTTTTGTTTGAGGGGAGAGGGAGATACAATAAATACTTCGAACTAAATTTGTTTTTATGGGCAAAAGGGGGTTATAAGAAAATTTTGGATACTTAGAAGATTCTATATTAAAACAAAGAAGGAAACGCTATAGGTGGACGTGAATACCCCACGACACTATAACTTGCGGTCAATTTCTGTAAATATAAATTTTGTTGCCTAATATAGTTGGAAATTTATATACCTTAATATGACTACAGTTTTCATATCGGATATAATCGGGAATCTATATACTTATGAAAGAGGAAAATGTTTGTATCTTTGTAATTTATGGACTCGAAAACCGAAACGTTCCAAATATACTGCAACATCGCCTGGATGTAACTTAGGCCACATTCGTTTTGAAATTCCACTTTGAACTTTATATACAGCATCAGAATCAAAGGTTCCTGACAAAAATTTAGATTTTATATGCACATATCTATTAATCGATTACACATACAGTCTCTTAATTTGAAATGCGTAACGGAACAATAATAAATTTTCCAAAATTATATCGAAATCGGTTCGGAAAAAATTGTCAAATTATACTCAAATCATTTCAGGTTTAGATATATATATATATATATATATATATATATATATATATATATATATATATATATATATATATATATATATTCTCGGCCGATTTTACACATTTGATGCACCCAAAGCGATATGTATGTCCAATTCCAATGAAATTTGATACCCGAAGAAATTTGTGAAATTATATTGAAATCTGTTGAGGTTTGGGTAAAGCCCCCATAAATATATATTGGCCGATTTCATGTATGTTATGCACCAAACACGATATGTATGTCCGATTACAATGAAATTCAGAATGTGTGGTTACAGTAATAAATTTTACGAATTAATTATAAATCGGATAAGATTTGAATATAACACCCATATATTTATATATTTTCGACCGATTTCAAATGGTTGATGCACCAAACACAGTGCAATAAAATATAGAAGGTGTGATGGAATTTGGTGTAAGTAATTTTTGTCAAATTATGTGGAAATCGATTCAGATTGAAATATGATTTTATTAATGTTAGCACTGTCTCAAATTCTAATCCCCATAAAGTTATGGTCCATTATTCCCCTAAATATTTGGCGAATATATCTAACAACTATAGGATTATATTCAGACACTAATTCAACTTCATGTGTTATCCATAAAAACGGGCGGACACATATATCTAAATGGACTCAGCTGAGCGAAATGGGTTGATCGACTTTTGGGCCAATCAATCATAAAATACCCTCTCAATATCGTGTTGCAGTGTATAAACATCCATCAGAACTGGGCTTCGCTTTTTTGAAGAATCCTGTACAAAATTTCGTCATTATTGGAACATATTTTTGTCTCAAAAAAAAAAAAAAAAAAAAAAATCAAAACAGGAAGTCCGTAGATTCGAGGTGGGGCCAGTAGTACCGTAAAGATGTACCTGAGGTCAGGGAGTTTTTTTCTTTTTGAACAGCTGGATGTTAGGGAGTTTTTTCAAACAAGCTGGATCTTAGGGGGTCCCTATAGTCATAGGGATGCCAACTCGGGAAGATTGTCGCGGATATAGACGGTCCTCATATGGGTCGAGCGTTCCCCCTTTACCTTCTGGTCTGGAGGATTCCCACTTTGGTCTGCGAGATTTCCTCCTAGCCTGGTATATTTGCTTTAAGTTATAGGGTTGTTCCTCTATGGACCGGAATGTTTCCCCTATGAACTGGCGGAATTACCCTCTATGGTCGGGGCAGTTAGTTGGAATATTGCCCTTTTTCATGCAATGGTCAATACAGGACCAGGGTTTGAGTATTTTCAACAGGATTATTTTAGTATGCTATATTGTACAACTAATCGAAATTTCTCAATTACTTCTTAGAGGACGGTATCAAAATTTCCATCCGGTTGCTTAGGTTTTTGCGTATATTACTTCTAAAGTTTCTGCTAAACGGGTAGTTGAATTTTGCTTCAAAAGAGCTCCTGCCATTGCACAAATAGTTACTCTCTAAAATTAAATACCTGGCAATAAATTTCTTCCCTAATCCCTGAAACATGCCGTAGTGAATGGCAATAATTATGAATTATTTCTCGGAAAATATGTTTATAGCAAAAATATGCTACACCGCACGAATACAAGTATGAGCTATGATACATTGTTTTAAGTGTGTATGTATGTTTTGTGGATTGAGGAAATATGTTCTGCAAGAAAATTCCCTAAATAACAATCTTCATAACTAGGCTCTGCTCACATCACTTTCCAACAACCTTAAATATGTCATAAATTTCATTTCATAATATTGTAATACATACTTGAGGAGGAAAAATGCACACTCACACCAAACGCAACAAAATGGGACAGCAACAACAACTACAACAAGAACAAATTGTAACCTAAAGTTTCATAACTAAATTGAGGTCATTTGTCTTAGAGTTGTGTATTTTTGTAGTAGTAGTTGTTGGTGTTTGTTAATAACAGGGCATTTGCTGGCAGCCAGCAAATTTTCTAGTGACATTCTTCTGCAGAGGTTTTAAGACCGGCTGGGTGGTGCTTTTTTTCATTCTTTGTTCAACTTTTAGGCGTTTTCAAAAGTATAGCATGCTTTTAGGTGGTTGCATTTCAGGGGTTTTCTTTATTTTCATTTTACGGCAGATTGCATGTCAAACTATTTAACGAGTTTTGAAATAATTTTCATACCTTTTTCTGGCCACTTTCTTTGGCCGTAGCGTCGTCGTCGACTCAAGTGCGGATCTGCAACTAGTGCATATTTAAAATGATGACCCACAATTAGTCTCTCAAAGCTCGCATTAAGAAAACAACAAAACCAACAACTCACAACAATCATTAACAAACAGCCATTGTTGTTGTCGTACAACTGTTGCCGTCTGTCCAAGCCAGTTGCTCATTCGTTCATACCTTCGTCCGTCCGTCGATCCGTCTTCACTGTTGCGTCCCTTGTTTTAGTTTTCCGTTTTCGTTTTTTGTTTCTTTTTTTTCTAAAGCCGTTGTCGTTGTTGATTTTTGTTTTGCCTTTTATTTCTTTAATTTATAACAATCACGTTATATTTCCAACAAAGCCCACAAGGCGACATAAACATACATGCCATGTATGTTTGTCCGAAGACAAAAAGGGAAAATGTCAACATGTGCTGCTGTCCGACATGTTTCACAAGTCTAATGAGTGAATTATTTGTGTCCCTTTTTTCCTTTTCGAATCCCTTACATACGCCGTTGGCATTTTTCCCTTGTTCCCAAAATAAAAAAGAAAAATATTTATTTTCCACACTTAATTGTCCAGTTCGTTCGAGCGACACCAAGTAAACATGTAATTATCATAAATATATTACCCGAATTATGTGTAAGTTGGGCCCAACTCCATTTCCAACTCTTTTCAGTTGGGCGGAGGGGAAAGCCTTAATTGGCGTCATTACGCCGATATTGATTTCGATTGGAATGATAGGGTTAGTGTCACTTACATCATATGATTGGCCAAGAGAAACACCTCCATTGTGTTGAATATTTTCATGTGTCTGAGCAATGGTCTCCAGCGTTTAACAACATTCACCAAAGTTTTATTTGAATTTTGTGTATTTTTTTCGTGTATATATTTTTCGATATGGTTAATTGGCCAAATGTATCCTTTGCATAGGTGACCAGTCAGGATCCAGAGTTATTTTGAACAGCTGAAATTAAATAGAAAAAAATATAATTGTTGAAGGCAGATATTTTCTTTGATTAAAGGAACATTAAAAAAAATTGTAAGGCTTGTGGAACCCCTTGCAGAGTTTTATGAATGGTATTCCCATATATTTGTTTACCTCCCACCATTCTATGGAGAATATTTTATATTTGTCATTCTATTTCTAACTTCTCGAAATATTCATAATTGACCCTACAAGGCACATATATAATGGATCAGCGTAAAATTCTAAGACGATCTAGCGATGTCCGTCTGTTCTTATCACGCTATCTTCCGAACGAATTGAGATAGCAGGCTAAAATTTTGCGTACATGCATAGCTTACCAATAGGCAAGTTAATTACATAAATGGGCCATGTCAGTCCACGTTTTCGTATAGCCCCCATATAACAGTACCTTCCGATATTCGGTATTTTCATGATTTCAGTGATATTGTTTATTAATTAATTTCGTATTTGAAGTTCGTAATTGGTACTACAGCCTATGACAAACATTTTTGTATGCAGGCCCACTTTTTGTATAGGCCCCATATAACGACAGCTCCTTTCAAATTTCGTATTGTAACCATTAACTGCAACCTACGGAACAAAATTGTTTGCAAATCCACGTCTTCGTATAGCCCCTATATAACGGTACCTCCCGAAACTTGGTATTATTATGATTTGTGCAACATTATTCTCCGGAAATGTAACAAATTTCGTATTTAAAGTTATTAGTTATTCACCGGAATGCAGGTCCACATCTTCGTTTAGTCTCCGTATAAAAGTTTTTATTTAAGTGGTAGTTTCCGGAAGTTTTTTTTTTTTGACATTTTTCAAGTTCCTTCCAAATGATGGAGGCTATTAAAAGTTCGGCACGGCCTGTTTTTTTACTTATTATTGTCGAGTCTGGACGTTTCGAAAATATTGCCCAATTTTCAGCCCCTTAGAAAACTGTTAGATGTGTATACCCTCAGCCTTATGGATACAACCAGTCCGTATATTTGTATGACCAAACTATCTGCCTGATGTGCAAGATAATTCTCACAGTATGGATCAGAACTTTAAACTTGCTAGATTTTTTGTGTATCTTAAAGCATGTTCAAAGCTGTGATATAACGGACCGCCCTTCTGGTACCCCTAGCTTAAGTAAACAACTTTTTGAGGGCATCCATTTGTCGGGAAACCAACTGATAGCTGCCTACATGTTTTGTCGTAATTTAAATCTATGATAATCTGTGTTAAAAACGATATTTCATTTCTTATCTTAGTATGATTCCGAATATTCGGATTTTATTTGGTCAATTTAATCAAAATTAATGGACCATAATTTGAACTTCCAAAAACTCAAAAAGCCTCAAAATTTTGCAACAAGTTCACCCTTATTTTCAGTTAAATATTCCACATATTTTTTCTAACCTCAATTTTCTCCAGGATCCAAAAAAATTATTTTCCACATGCCTTACTCAATCAGATTTCTCATCTTCGATGAAGTCAACATAATGACCATTAATTGAAGACAATTATTTGAAATTGTTGTGATAGCCAACTTTCTGATTATTTCGAACAGTTAGTACGCAAATCGACAAATTTACATTGCATATTAAGCGTATTTTTGGTAATACTACTCTCAAATGAAAGAGGGGCGAAATATTTTGATAGAAACGAAAAAAACGAAAAAGAGAATCTATCAAACTGTACTAACAAACTGTCGCCCGACCACCACCACTGCCATCTGGAAAACAATAAAAATCCGCTTAAATAAAGAGCCATGGCTTGTAAAATGGATAATCACAAAAATAAATGATGATGAGTGGCTTTCGAATAGCTTTGCGCTTGGATAGAGAACACCAACCAAATGGCATTGACTAACAACCAGAATAACCGCACAAAGCGACATCCATAACGATAACGGCAACGACGTCAACAAATTCAACGCTCCGAACACGGCACGGTTAACGAGAGGACATGGACAAGGAAAATACTCATTTGAAAACAATAAATCGTGGAGTACACTGAAAAGTCACTAAAGACAACTGATAAGCATTTATGACAACCAGTCTGCGAAAGCGCCGAACAGTAATGCAGTGGTGGCATAGCACCCTCATTGAATGGCACCAAGTAGCCGACCATTCAACCGGGCAATCAAACAGCCAAAACATAAACGGAAACATTCAGTAACAATTTCTGTCATGATATCTCTCCTCCATGCCATTGTAAATCCATGACGTCGAGAGCCGTCTACTGGTGAATTTCTTCTGCTGCTGCCACTGTAGCTTTATATGCTGATGGTACGCACACATTAAGAACGCAAGAAACCACAGGGAGAAGTTAAGGCAATATCAATATTTCAATTTGACAACCTCCCCGTCATTCTGAAATTGAAACCGAAAACTAAATGAATGAAACGTGAGACGCGCAGCACCACGACTTTCCAAGGAATTTGCGAATGATGGCAAACGACAGACAGACAGACAGACACACCCCACACACACTCTGACAAACAATGAGAGATTTTTATATAAGTAATTTTGTTTGTCGTTCGGTATTTGATATCTGATGAATTTTGATTCCCTAAATCGATAGATTATAATTTTATTTGTTGCTGCTTGTGGGGATTTACGGCGTATTGACAGCACAGTATTTTGAAATCGAAGCCTAGATTGGAATAGTTGGTATTTCTTGCAAATTAAATATGTTAGAGAAGTTTTAATTTTTATCTCGGCGCATTTGTTTTTTACATACAGAAGGATCCACATATAAAATTTGCGGTCTTCTAAATGATCACTTTTTGCGGTCTTCTAAAGGATCACTTTTAAAGGCGCTTTCTGCACGTTTTTACAATCTCCGTGTTTCCCATATTAAAAACAAAAACTCTTTTTTTTTTTTTGAGAAAACTGGCTTCAGATTTAGATATACCCCCATACAGTGTTGTCAGAATTTTTCTGAAATTCCTCCCCAATTCCAAAGTCGCTTTCCTTAAAAATCCTAAATTTTTGTTGAACTTCCTCAAAAAAGAAAAAAAAAATAAATAGATAAATAAATAAATATAAATAAAAATAAAGAGAATGTAATTGTAGGTGTACATTAGAATTCAATACATAGACTGTTATCTATACTTCACGACTAAAGTAATACAGGGTGAGATGAACAAACTGCAACCAACTTCAGACTGCTGTCATTTCAAAGCCACTCGTCCGACAGCTGTTAAAATTATTCCAGTGACAGCTCATTACTTTGTTTACAAGCGTACAAAAGCATTTTGGTAAGAATTTTCCAGAAAAAAAGTTATTCGTGATGGAATTCAAGGGTGATAATGAGATTTCTTTATATTTGGCTGGAAAGCCACAAGTGGCTATCGTTAGAGCACTCGATTTGCGATTTGATCGAAATCCGCGGCGCAGTGGCCGAAAAATGGATCGTGAGTTGAACATATCCCAATATTCCATTCGGCAAATATTAAAAAAATGAGCTCGGGGTAATGCCATGGAAACTCCAAAAAGAACTTACACCACAACAGAAAGAAAATAGACTCAAAAGAGCTAAAGAGTTCGTTCGCTTGGTTGAAAGTGGTGAACTGCCGTTTGTAAACAGCAGTCCAGCAGTTTGTAAACAAACAGAATGATCGTGTTTACTTGCCAAAGAGGTCAGCTGAAAATGTGCACCCTCAGTTGGCCACCACAACTCAAGCGCCCGCCATGATGATGGTGTGCCATTACAGCCGATGGTTGCTCTCCGCTAGTATTAATCGACCGTGGCATCAGAATAAATGCCGAATATTATAGCGAAAATATTCTGGAGGGTATATTATAGCCTTGGGCACGCAAACATTTTGGCCGCAGACCTTGGACATTGCGATAGGACTCAGCACAATCGCATTCAGCGCGCGCCACCCAAGAATTGTTACAAAATGAGGTTCCTCGCTTTATTTCCAGCGCACAATGGCCACCGAAATCTCCAGATACTAATCCGTTGGGCTATGGAAAGCAAGGTTGGCAAAAAAAAAAAAGAAAAAAAAAAACCAAAGTGTCGATCAAGTGTCAAGCAAGCGTTTCGCCGGCAATGGACCAAAATACCGCAGAGCAACATTCGGGCAGCGTGTGACGGTTCCATTGGCCGTTTAAAGGCCATAATTCTAAATTGATTTTATGATGATTTCAGTGTCATTATTCGCCGGAGTAGTTTCAAATTACGTATTTAGAGTTCGTAGTGGGAACTACAGTCTGTGACAGAAAATTGTCTATGCAGGTCCAGGTCTTCGTATAGGCCTCATATATCAGTACCTCCCTATATTCGGTATTTTGACGATTTTAGGTACAATACTCACCAAAATTGTTCGAGATGCCGTATTTGAAGTTCGTAATGGATGCTAAAGACGGTAAAAGAGACTCGTCTCCGCAGGTCCTATATACGCTATTTTGTTGATTTCAGCTACATTATTCACCGTTTATTTCACGTTTCGAATTTGAATATGGTAATGGCTTATGACAAACAATGCTTATGTAGGTCCTCGTCGTATAGACCCCAATAAAAAAGCTATATTCGGTATTTTTATAATTTGAAAATAACTTTTGACGGATTTTATTTTTTTAAAATTTCCAAATGGTGGAAGGTATTCAAAGTTCGGCCCGGCCGAACTTACTGCTTTTTAACTTGTTTTATAATTGTTTTGGAAACTTCAATTACGCAATATAATAATGATTGAAAACCTCATTTAAGGACCCCAACTTTTAATCTTACTTTCACAAGCTTGTAAGATGGATTGTGTTTTTAAATTTGGAAGGATATTTTTACTGGCATAAATATTCCCACGCATTGTGGTATTCATTAGCATCACTGCCTACCTACTGCGTTAATTATTTTGTTTTCTTCCATCTTCATTCCGAGTATTCTATGCTGTTTTTTTGTCTCCTACAAAGAACATATGCTTGTGGGCAGTTACACTTGATATCCTGCAAAATACCTTATTTCAATTATGCTCAAAACACGGAAATTGAAGAAAAAGT